GGCAAATCAAACATTTTATCAAGTCTCAATAACGTCCTATACGTTCCAAATCTGAAGTTTACTCTATTCTCAATCAGCTCAGCATCAGATAGAGGCTTCAGTATGATTTACAACAAAAGAGGTTGTAGACTTGTTCGAGACAATGAAGTGTTTGCTATCGGAACAAAGAAAGAAAAGCTATACTATATGCAATTTGAAAAATACCTGAAAACTCAGCTTTTGTTGGAACACACAGGAAGAAAGAAAACATAAGAAAATTCCATGAACGATTAGCTCATCAAAACATTAAACGAGTTCGAGAAATTTTAAAGAAATGTGAAATAGAGTACGAAGATGACGCTGACTTCTTTTGTGAATCCTGTATGAAAGGAAGACAACATCGAATTTCTTTCAAATTAAGTACTTCAAGAGCAAAAGCACCAGGTGAATTATTACACATCGATCTATGTGGACCTATGGAGACAGAATCTGTAGGAGCAGCTCGCTATTTCCTGCTTGTAAAAGATGATCTAAGTCACTTCAGAATTGTATCCTTCTTAAAATCAAAGAATGATGCCAAAGACAGAATCCGAAAATGCATCAAATACATTAAAAATAACTTAAACTACAAAGTCAAGATAATAAGGACAGACAATGGTAAAGAAGAAGTTAACCGTTTAATCAAAGAAACTGAAGAAGAAGAAGGAATTGCTCATCAGTTATCCTGTAAATATTCGCCACAACAAAACGGAATGAATAGAAAGAGAAATGCGAACAATCGTTGAAGCAGCTAGAACAATGATCCATGCAAAAAAATTATCCAAGTCACTTTGGACAGTAAACCAATAGCGTGCCGTCATTAGAAGCGGTGGAAGCGCCGCTTCTCTCGTATTTTCTAAAAAATAAATAAATATTAATTTTAAATATATGAAAACAATCGCACAATATTTTATTATAACCGCATTATGTATCTTATTACAAATTTCTATACTACACGTGAAAAAAAAATTGCTATTGTATATTCGAATATTAGTGGCTGAGTGGAATCTCTATATTGTCAGATTTCAAAAAGCCAGATTCGCGCATGCGCTTTATAGAGCACCAACCTCACCCGGTTTAGCTGCTGGAAGCCTACGACCTTGGGTGGAAGCTGCACACGTATAACGATTCCAATTCTATCAAGGACCGGTTCTGGGCTGTTAGCCGCCTGCCCACTAGATATTTCGATTACGTGAATAACGAGTAGATTTATAACTTAACCTAACCGATAAGAATTTACTGGTATGTTTTTACGATAGTTCTGTATAGTTGATGAAAGTTAAAAATTCCATTAAAATATTTGATATATTTATTCCGCTCTCCGATTTTATATTACTCGCGGATTTCGATGTTAAACCAGTGATATCACGATTTCGTACATCCCATCTTTAAGGGGATGTAGAAAAAAACGTGTACAATTCTTGTATAACGTTAAAAAATTAACCGTTACTTCGACAGCGTCATTTACAACTAAATTTAATGAATGAGAGAGATGCACCAGGTACAGTACATTGAAGGAGGTAAGGAAAGCTATTTAGAACAAAGGTCACGGCATGTTCAACCGGGATAGTTTTCTTGCATGACAACATCTACTTGCATAATGTAATACATACTCAAATGATTCAATTAAGAACCATTCTCCGTATCACCCTGATTTGGTGCCTAGCGTTACTGTCTTTTTTTACGCAGTGATATTGCTTTGCTGTGCTTCAATGACGAGGAGTTGCAATCTAGCGTCTAGACTTGGCTGAATTCACAGACAGAATTCAATGAAAACAATATATAAAAGCACATTAACCTCTACGACAAGTTTCTCGATTTATCTGGAGATTATGTTGAAAAATAGTTCAAGATTATAATTTTCAATTGTATGTAACGCCATAAAACTTATCTAACTATATTGATGTTCCTTCAATAATCAAACGGATACCTCTTGTATTTATATGAAACATTAACTTTTGGAGAAATAAATTAGATTTTAGGATTAAGAGAAAAGTAAATATTATATAAAGTCCACAGCCCGGCACACACATTTGTAAAATCTAAGTGACTCATACAACATGGAATTCATATAAAACGGAAAAATGAACAGTATTATAGGGGGGTCAACTGTATCTCATTTATTTTGTGAAATAATTTAAATATTATAAATGTAATTGGAATAAAAGATCAATAATTAAATGTATTTTATATTATTTAGATAATTCGTGAAACGGCGAAGAAAGAAAATTCTTCAAAAATCATCAATTCCGTTACAACAATTCCAAAATGATTATCTGTAAGAATGAATGGAAACTTCTTAGAATCAGCATGAATCTCATCGGTTTACAATTGAAAAAGAGATTTTCTCTGTATATCGCCTTCACGCTGATAGGAGCAAAAATATTTCCTATATTCTTCATTTATGTATCAGTTGTAAAAGTGTTAACGTATCGTTTATCTGTTATAAGATGTTTTATACACATATTTCTTTCTGTTTCCTTTGTTATTTATATAATTATTTTGTATCATTTTCACATGACAAAGAGGAAAATTTTAAACAAAATCGTAAAAATACAAGAAATTTTGCAGAATAAAGAAGACAACCAAAAGAAACTTCTCTTATTTAATTCCTCTTTAATTTGGTTAAATAATATGATCGTGTTGATAATCTTCTTCTTTAATCGTAATAAAATGCCAATTAATTTAATCGAAAACACATCGATTAGAATACATTTTCTTAATTACGAATTAAGAAGTTCTACAATATCGTATATTTTCGTCTGTTGTTTTTTCTTATTTTTATTTATCCAAAATAATTTCCTTTTGCTTTACTTTTCTACTATTTGCAAGAAGTTCGAAAACTCCTTTAAGTATCTAAATAAATTAATAATATTTAATCGCGTATGCCAAAGAGAAGATATTAATTTAGTAATGAATAAGTATATACAATTATTAAATATTATAAATGAAATAGAAGTTATTTATTCTCCAATATTATTATGTTGGACGATATTATATAGTTTAAACATTATTTTAAAACTTGGTGTAATGCTTAATGATAGTGGAGAGTTGCCATTGGTATTTTGTATTACAGATATCGTTTGTTACAGTATTTTTCCGTTTCATCTGTTTTCTTGTGTTTGTTTTTCTTCTTCGAACGTAACTAAATCTGCCAAAAACCTTTTAAAGGACATTTATAAGGCTTCTGTTGATAGCAATGACGTATCTCTGCAAGAGGAGGCTTTTCGATTTTATGTGACAGCTCTTCAAGATTTGCCAAAATTTTCAGGTTGGGGTTTGTTTAATATGGATAACAATCTCTTCGTAACTATTGTTGGCATGATAATTACTTACTGTATTATCATGATTCAGTTCTCGGAGATAAATTAACACAAATACAGAATGTTCCAAAATGAATTTTTTTATTTTAAATTACTGCAATTATGTTAATTATTATCTGAGAAATATACGATATAAATCAATTATCTGTCTAAGATTCTCACTTCTCATCTTGTTGTTTGGTTACTGCTAGAGGCAATAGACATCAAGACGTTTGAATGCAGATGGAACCACCGAAATCAAAGCTCTAGGAAGAGCCATAAACGAAAATGGTGTCTCAGCAATAGAGAAGTTTCGTCTTCTGCAGTTTGCAAAGTTGGAATCATCCATTATTATGCAACGTGAGTAATCTGCAGGAGTCGTAGAATTGTGGTTCTGTGGGAGGAGTGACAATGGATATGCTGTAGCGAGCGTAGAGAGAATTTGAGTATGGATTGGATGCCGTGTGACGAAAGATGTTCGTATTGAAAAATTGTAATGGGCAAATGAGAAACTTAAACAGTTTACCAATGTTTNGTAGAATTGTGGTTCTGTGGGAGGAGTGACAATGGATATGCTGTAGCGAGCGTAGAGAGAATTTGAGTATGGATTGGATGCCGTGTGACGAAAGATGTTCGTATTGAAAAATTGTAATGGGCAAATGAGAAACTTAAACAGTTTACCAATGTTTTAATGTATAATACAACGTACTTTGATGAAACATTAAGAAAATCTGTATTCGTAGTAATTCGATTATTTAAAATGACTGTAAAATGTGTAAAAATCGTGTAAAATATTTACAGTATTGTTAATCTTAAAGTGTATTATACTCGTATTATTTAATTAATAGAATATATATTCCTGAATAAAGAGTGATGTTAAAGATAACTATTGTATACCTATGCATCCAGTTGTGAAGTAAAGAGTAAAAGAGTATAATTTTGTTTTAATTATAATAAAATGTACCTACCGTATTTTACAGCTTATTTTTGCATGATTATTCGTGATTGTCGGGTAATTTAATTATACTTTTCGACTATATCTATGCGGCATTTTCATGTATTTCTGTAAAGCCTTGTCTTTCTCTGACAAATAAAAGTGTAAATTCTAATTTTACTTTTTTTTTAAAACCGTAATACAATAAACATAAACCGAGTTGTTCAACTTTCCCGGCAACATTTGATCGCGCCATCTGTCATCATATTTTATTTAGAAACATTTTTATATTTTCAACTATTATAAAATGGCAAAAAAAAACTTAATTTTAAGAATAGGGATGAGTTTTATAAAAAATTGTAAATGCTGATAACGAGTAAAATCGTCGTTTCGTCCGACCGAAGATACACACGACCCTAATTATCTCCTCACCCCCTCGATCTTTAATCACCAAAATTTAATAGGTTAATAAAATATGTTAATATTTTAAATTGATAAAATTTGTATCAAATTTGTTGCTTAGATATTGTAAATTGTTTATATGTAAATTTTAAAAACGCGGTATGTAAATTAACTCGAAGCTTTTGCAGTGAAAATAAGTTGTAAGTGTTCGAATTCTGTTGATAAGTCACGAAAAATGTTATAAATGAAATATTTTAAAAGTGTTATTTATTTATTTATTTAGTCTGAAAATAAAGTAGTGTCGTTAATCCGTTTCCGCCAGAGAGATATTGTTATAAAAAGTCACAAAACGGCACTGGTAGTATTGTTTTGTGGATTGTTGGTTCTGTGTGTGGACTTGGAGCGACTAATTGGATTTTTTTCATAACGAAGTTCTGGGCAAGGCATCGTGAAAGAATTCATGGTAAGCATGAAAGTATGAATATTAAAGTATTGTGTTAGTGGTAAAACGGGATTTATACTTTAATCATCGTATGTCAGGCTCGTATTATATTGCGGTGTTGTGTAGTCCGTAGTTTCTGTTGAATTTGATGTTTATAGCAACGATTATTTCTTAAGTTTTTCTAAATTTTTTGTCTATATCTTAATGTTGCGTAGATGGATAAGTGAGTAATATTTGACTACAGTTTGCGGGTATCAAATTCTTTTTGTAAAGCTTATTCTTCTAAACGCACTAATCTTTTAAATACATGAATTTAAAGTGTTTTTTCTAGATATCAAATAACCATAAATGATTCCATAACTTCTCTTTTTTAAAATAGGAATAGTTATGTTTAATTATAATTGCTAATATTTATTATAAAAAATCTATAGCAATATAATAAAGACTAGTTTCCATGTTAAACAATTTAGAATATTTATCATGAATCATATGTTGCTGCCCACCAGTGACTGAGTGGACAAAACTACTGAACATGTGGGTTTGTGCCTTGTCAACAGGCTGATCACACATTTTCCAGATTATCTTGTAACAATCTAAATAGGAGCTGTTTTTCCATAGAAAGTTCTTCCCAGGAGGCATCCCCCTCAACAGATCACCTGTGTGCCATGTTGCCACATATATACAAAAAACAAACAACATATTGCTGTGCTAGAAAAATTGCTGTGTAATTTTCATTTATATCACAATAGATATGTTTTTACTATAGGAAAACTTAATCCACTAAACTATTATATAATATTATGTTTTGCTATAAATTGATTGAATCCAAGCTTTTACTTGGTGTAATAGAAAAATGAACAGACAAATACTTTATATTGTTTATTTACAAGATTTAACTGTGCTTATCATTAGATATAGGTTCTCAAGTTGTTATTGCATTCTCTTCTGACAAATTGGTTAATAAATCAAACTTAAAAAATAATTGTAATAGGAGTCTATATAATACCACATATATGTAATGTGTATAGTGTAATTAGAAACTAACTTGTTTGTCATATTAGCATGTTTCTGTTAATCTTTGTGTTATCAGACAGCCCATTTCAAAGCCATCAAAAATCGTACTTAGTGATATTACATTCTGTTTGGAATTGATTTTATTTTTATAATTTTCATGTCTGTCTATTATTAATTCACATTATTATAAATGAAAGTTAGACTGACTCCCTAATTGAGTAGCTCTGTACAAAATTAGATTCACTTCTGCTTTTTGGAGCTAATGGCACAAACCTGAGTTATAGTTAAACATGAATAAACTCATGAGTCATTTATATGTGTTTATTGCTCATTTTAGTAATAAATTTAATATTTAATTATTATTTAACATTAATAGCAAATGCAATTTTTGTTTGGACTCCAAAATATTTTTAATATAATAGGATATCTCATATAAAACTGGCCCCATTCACTGATTGAATAAAACCTGGGCTGACAGACAACAAAGTATTGGTAGTGCAAACTTCCATAACATTTTGTGAATAAAACTAACAAGGGAAAGACACTGTCATGGTGTCATATTTCAATGAGCATTAACATTGTGAATGTATGCCAAAAGTAATTGATTCATGTTTTCAGCATTTCATCTAGTGGACCCTAGTTTCCAAAATATTGTTTAAAATTGGGACTTTGTAGTTCTATTAGCATACAAACTATGTGAGAGATAAAATGTGTCATTTGTGGAAACATAGTAAAGCTTGTGGCTTCTGCTCTACTTTTATTTATATACATATTTTTGTACATTACATGGATGTACTGTACAGTATGTTGGAAGATGAAGCATGCAATGACATAACGTTGTAAATGAAAAAAAAAAGAAAAAATCAAACTTCTCAGGAGAGGTGATTAAAACTTTTTCTAGTGAATGAATTTATTTCAATTTTACAATAAAATGGTAAAATCTCTCTAGGTTATAAATTTTCTGGAATATCAAAATTATGTAAATGTAAGCTGTAATGTTTTAAGTGCCAAAAGTAACATAATTTGCACATTGGCACATTAAATGTTATGGCTTCACATAAATTCAACTTCAAAATACAGCCACTCACAGCACCACTGTTGCCACGATATGTTTTGCAGCAGAAAACACTGCATTTACAATTCAATTCTTCATTAAATGTATTTACAGAAAAATGGAATTTATAATGTTGTGGCATTGCAAGCTTCGTATATCATTAACATGCAAAATAAATATTTGTTACAATGAATATGATTTTTTGAAAAATGAATAACTTTAAAAGGCTATTATATCTATAAATATAAAAGTAAAGTTTAGTTAGGAGTAAGTTAATTATTCCTAGAGAAAGCTACTGTAGAAACAATTTGAAAATATTTTAACTTAAATATATGTAATGTTTTTCATTTAGGTTCAATGCAGATGCCACCACCTCCATTACATGATGCCCTGCAACCTAGTTCTGTGGCTTCACCAATAAGACCGCCTTCATCAGGACCATTACCATTTCCACCTAGACATCATCCACCACCACCACCACCATCAGGTAAGTTCTGACATCATTGAAAAATATTTTAAATTGACCTTATAAGCAAATTAATAAAAATAATTAGGTGGTATACCACCTCCACCGCCAGTACTTCCACCCGTGTTAAGTTATGCAAGCATACCTTTGCCACTACCAACCGTTCCTCCTTCTCCACCACCTCCACCCAGTACTGGTTTTCCTCAGATACCAGTACCTTCCAGTAATGAACCCGGCCCCAGCGAGATGATGCAACAAAGACAAGTATCACTCGCTATGCCACTACAACCTATGGGTAAGTATTTTCTGTAGAATACTTTAAATATGTTTAAAAGTGATAAATTGAAATTTTTAGGAATGCTACCGCCCCACACCCAAAATGCAACCACCATCTCAAATGAGCGTGAACTTTGGACAGAGACCGCCGCCTTTTGGTATGTATAATATTTACATTTGTTTGTTTTTTTTTTTTTTTTTTTGAGAGGCTGTTTGCCATTGTTGGGGGGCGCCATTACTTTTATAAAAATGCCATTTTTGTTTCCAAAATTTATTGTCATGCCGCAATTTGAAACGTAAGAATTTAAATACTTCTATACCGTAACAAATGAAATTTTAATATAAATTCTTAACCAGTTAAGAATCATGCTTTAGGAACAAAATAACGGTAAATAATATACAAATTTACTGTTAATTTTTGTTATACGTCAATGTAAATTTTAACTACCTGTGTTCCGTGGTTTTATTTACTCTGGCATTTATATAGATAGCCCATTAGGGCAATGTAAAAATTGAAAATACAGTAGTTCCTGGTTAACTTGCACTTAATCACTATTGATATATTAATTGTATAATTCAGTTTGCAAGACNATGTAAATTTTAACTACCTGTGTTCCGTGGTTTTATTTACTCTGGCATTTATATAGATAGCCCATTAGGGCAATGTAAAAATTGAAAATACAGTAGTTCCTGGTTAACTTGCACTTAATCACTATTGATATATTAATTGTATAATTCAGTTTGCAAGACATATTTGTATATGTATTAAATACTCGATTCTGCCCCTGGTTAGTAATTCCGAAAAAAGACTAATGTTAACAATGGCCTTGTGGCTGTATGTACTGTACAGAAAAGACTCTAGAATTTATTTTCCTTAAATTTACGATTTATGTATCCGTTTGTCATAAAAATTTGTCTTTCCATTTTTTCCCCGAGATTTCACAAATATTCGAGTACAAAGTAACCGGTTTCGACCCATTTATACTTAAGAAGTAGTTAAGTTTATATATTCAGAAACAAATATAAGTAAGCACAATTATCTTCGTATAATTCAGTGTTTCTCAACGGGGGCGATATCGCCCCCGAGTGGGCGTTTTTCATGTTGAGGGGGCGATTAGTAACAATTTATATTTGGGGAGCGAAAAACAATTTTCTGGCTGATTTATAGTAAAACATATTATAAATAATTAGATATTTTATTCGTTATAATGTACAATAATTAAGCAAATAACATTATACTAGTCACTAGTCTATTCAATGCAGTACGAATTTGGCGCTAGCCTTGGCTTCTGGCATCGAAATTTTGAAGTGAAGGGGGGCGATACTACGTAATAGTTTTATTGAAGGGGGCGACGATTCGTTCGAGGTTGAGAAACACTGGTCTAGTAGAATCGATATATAGGCCTAGTATTTACATCACACGTTCTTTATTTGAATTCGGAATGCCAGTCTATTAATTTAAATTTTCTATATTATAGTAGAGAAAGCTGAGGAAAAATGGAAAGTATAAAGGGATAGAAAAAATTAATAAAATGTAGCACTGTTAGTAACAGTGGCGTTTCCTATTCGGAATTTTTACGTATGTGTGTTCCGGCGTAAAACAGAAACTGAACCGAAAGCTGATTTCAGATTCAGTTTTCTGCTACACAATTTTACGCATGTGTGTTCCTGGCCTTAGACCAGGAACACACATGCCTAAAATTATCTATAATAAATTGATTTTTTTATTATTGCTTTATTTTTTAAATTCCAAGCATTAATAGTTTCTTAGAATTACTTCGGAATACCGTATAAGATACCGTGTACCTGCAATACAACTAACTACTATATAGGAGAAACAAAATGTATACGAGTAAAAGAATATATTGCAGATCTCAAATATAATCGACTAAACTCTGTTTTCCAGGACCATTGTTTAATAAATAACTGTAATATAAATAAAAATAATGTTAAAATCCTACACAAAGAGAAAAATATGTATAATAGAAAATTTAAAGTAAGCCTCTCAATTTTAACAGCCAAAAATCGTATCAACAAAAATTTAAATGTAAAAATAAATGAGAACTGCATGAAAACATTATAATACACACAACATACATTAATGTTGATTGTAATTATCTATAATGATTATGCTGTTATTAATAATATCTTTCTTTGTAATATGCAAATCAGTACAAAACTGCAATGCAGTATGTAACACGGATATGGTTAAAAAACAATAATGTAAAAAATTGTCTACTTCTCTTTCGAGATATATGTGATTACGTCTAAGATTTCTGGATATTGTGAAATAGGTAAAAGATCATTTATAGCAAATTTTTATGAAATTACTCCACTTATTGTAAAATAAGTTGTGCGCGCCCATTGGGTTAAAGCCTTGTATGTATAACGGATTAAAAGTGGATATGGTAAGAAATATACATTATTTTAATTCTGTTTTATTAGATATTTTATGTAATAATTTAAAAAAATTTATCTTTTAGTTAACTGATGAGGGGTTTTATGCCCGAAACGTGCTGTTGCCACGTATCAACTAAAAACTGGTATAAATAAACACTTGGCTTTATTTCCAATTCACAATTTGAGTTCGAGTCCAACAATCATATATTTATTTAGAACTAAGCATCGAGTGCGGCAAAAGGCTCGACCAGAATCCGAATGTTCTTATAATACAGCCGCCATTATTTATTTTCAAAAAAGTCTTCGATAAATTTCATTATAAATTGTTATCGTTTTATTTTAAAATTTATGTAACTAATATAATTTTACTTGCAAACATATCAACCTCTGGTTTGCGGACTCTTTGGATTCCGTAAAGAGGTGAATCATGACTAGGGAAGTGTGATGTCACTGTTCTATGCCTTATGCCTTCAAAGTATAGTGAAAATAGTCTTACTCGAGAAAAATAAGTCGTCCGGAAACATGCCAAGTGGCGTGGTTGAAACAAGTGACAATTATGAGTAGTCACGTGACGGCGACATAAAGACAAGTCACATGTTTTGTATAAGTCTGTTCTCCAACGTGCGACGCTTCGACAAACTTAATAAATGGTGGCTGGAAAGCTTAGTTCTAGTTCTATGGTATTTTGTGTATAACACACTTTGTAAAGCTTGCCGGAAAATCATCTGTGTGTTTTCTAAACGTCCATCAACTCTTTATCTCAATATCTCTTCAATTTTTTTTTTTTTTTAAGTAAACGCGAAATGATCTCGTTCTATAAGTTACCAGTTACAATGTAGCAATTGTTTGAGATTGAAATTTCTGTTAACTCCATAAGATTTAAAAAATC